CACTCACTGTCTCACTCACTCTCACTCACTCTCTCTGTCTCATTCTCACTCTCTCACTGTCTCACTCACTCTCTCACTGTCTCAGTCTCACTCACAAAAAAAAAGAAAAAGAATGATAAAATGTACAAAGAAGAAGGAAGATGCGACCGTGACACCCTCAGGGTCTGGATGGCCTGCAGGACTCGGTGATGAAACAGGTCACCGCAAGAGGACAAGTATCACATGCGTCCACTTTTACGTGAAACACACAAAACCAATGGAGAAAAGGTTGCACAATGAAAGATTTGGATGGATACTTGAGGTGGGAGGGGAAAGGGAGGGAGCGGACTACTGAGCCCACAGGATAGACAGATGTTAACTTGGGTGAGGGGCGAAATAACAGCTATCCGATCTCATAAGACAGAGACGGGGAAGGAGGGGGGAAGGGGAGGAGAGGCCAAGCCCATGCAAGACTTGATCGCTTGTTGGGTTGCTGAACGCAGCAACGATGGCCTGACACATCGACGCACCGTCCCACAAAGAAAACACCACAAAGCAAGGAGTCCATTCTGACGCATGGCACCCTGGTAGGGTACGGGACAACTGCCCTGTGAGGCTCATCTTCTTCCCTCCGAGCAGCTGGTGGTTTTGAACTGCTGACCTTGTGGTTAGCAGCCCAGGTTAGCACAGCCACTACGCAGGGCTCCTAAATTCACTGCAAAAGGCTGGAGAACAAAACGAAGTTGGGTTCCTGAAAGTGAGGCCGGTTTTCTTCTAGAAGCATGCTTTGTGTGCCCACTCCTTGAAGAACTGTCCCAGGACCCCCAACAGGGACACCCCACCTCTAGCCATGGCGCCCACCCTAAGAGACGCCTCGCCTCCGGCGAGGTCTTGCCTGACCAGCCCACAGTGGCTCTGCAGCACACACGGCCCCTGTGGCACCCTGGGCGGCCTGCTGGCGTGTTGCAGGCCTCTGCTCTAGAATGGAAGCTGAGGGGGCAGGGATGCGGCTCCCTCCGCTTGGGCGACACCAAGGGTCTTCTTTCTTGACTAAATGAAAGCCTTCCTGTCATGGAAGGAGCGTGGGGTAGGCAGGCCAGCGGGGCAGGGAATCCGGGGGCGAAGAAGAACCCCCCTCAGTCACCTCTCTCCTCAACTGCTCTTCATTCCTTCTGTGGCTCAGCTCCTGGGCCTTCAGCTGCACCATGAGGGCAAACACCTTCTCCCGCCAGCAGGTGAGCAAGGACTGGCACTTCCTGGTGAGCTGGGGGTCCAGGGAACCTGAAGGCTGAACCTGCAGTGGGAGCAAGTGGGGGAGAAGGGGGGGAAGGTAAGACGGGGCAGTCTGTGCTTTCTCTGTCCCACCCTGAGCAACAGCAAGAGAAGGAGTCTGGGGGGGAGTGCGGTATCCAGGGCAGGCCTGCAGCGTGCGCGCCCAGCCCTCCAGCCCTCCTGCTTGAAGCAGGTACGGAACCCCGAGGGTGGAAAACTACCTTCTTGGCCAGCTCCTCCTCCTGCAGGCTGAGGATGTAGGTGAGGCTCTGCACTCGCACCTGCAGCAGCTCGGCCGTGGTGTGCAGGACGTCGCGGTCCTCCTGCAAGCTCTGGGGCAGGAGAGGAGCTGCCCAGTCAGCCCCTTGGCTCCTCCTAGCCTCCCCCGGCAGCTGGCCTCCACATTGTCCTCCTCACGCGTGGGGGCCTCCCTCCCAGCTCTCACAACCCACTCGGACCGCCCACTCCCCGCCCCCCCTCTCACATGCACGGTTTCCAGAAGTTCCTTCTGCTCCTGGTCCCACGCCTGGCTGCGGACCTCTGCGGGGACTTGTTCCCCCACGTACGTCCTCAGATTCTCCACCAGGGCCACCTGAGCCTCCAGGTCTTCTTTGGCCTCGCTGGGGGAGAGGCGGGCACAGGCGGGCCTTCCGTGGGGGTATTCTGCAGATCTGCTACTCAACCCAACGGCCAGCCCCCGCGGGGGCTGGGGCTGGGGCTCCCCCACCCCACTTACCTCAGTTGCTTCTGCAGCAGCTCCTTCTCCCTCTGAGTCACGGCCAGCTCCATGGCTTCCTGGGCGCGCCTGGATTCCAAGCTAGTCAGAGCCTTCTCTAAGTCCTCGGCCTTGCTGGTCAGACTGGAAAGAGCCTCCTGGTGAGCGGCCGTCAAGCCGGAGAGCTGTGGAAAGAAGCAGCCTGGGGCTCAGCCGGGCTAGCCGAAGTCCGTCTGGGGGCTTTCCGCGCCTGCTCGGGCCTTGTCCCTTCACCCCTACTTCCCGAGGCCTGCGGTAACCATCCCAGCAAACCACCCAGCTGGGCATGGCCCGATGGCGACCGCCCTTGGCGTCTCCCTCTCCCCGTGGCCCACACTCAAGTTTACCACGATCCCTGCCTGGTCTGGTCTCACTTCTCCCTCCCACTGGGGCCGCAGTAAGTTGGGGAACCCAGTGGGGGGAGACACATTCACCACATGGTTTGCTCATAATTCGTGAAGGCCCCTCCGCTCTCTCATGGATGACGGCAACAACCCACCGTGGAGGTTTTCCACACCTCCAAGGGCCCTGGCTTCCCCACCCCGAGCGCATAAAGAACGGCCGCCACGGTTTCCTTCTAGTGCTTTTATGATTTCCGTTATTTAACGTGCCAGTTTTGCCAGGGCTGCTGTGCCCGCCAACGACCAGCCGGTGGCTTGAAGCGAGGGAAATGTCTTCCTCACGGGTTCGCAGGTCTGGAGTCTTCCGTGGGTCTCGGCATCTACCTGACTGCCTCTGCTCATCCCTATCTCAACACAGAGGGCTCCACCCGCCCTCTCTCACAGCAGCAAAGACGATCCATTCCCCACTGGGCTTAGAACCCCAATTCACAGCGACCTTACCCAGCCGGGTAGAACTGCCGCGTGTTCCCAAGATCAGAACTCTTTACAGGAGTGGAAAGCCCCACGAGCACTATTTTAAGGGGACGATCGCTTCTCGGCCTTTTGGCTAAGTGTGGTACTTTAAGGGGACATAATTCGCTCCATAACTGGTGGCCTCTGTTCACCTCCCAACTAGCCTAGGGCTCCCTTGCCTTCAGAACACGTCTCCCAATTGCAATTAGTTAGGAGTACACCAGAGGCCGCGTTCCATGTCGCCTGCCGTGGACTGATGAGCTCCCCCAGGACGGCAGGGTACCAGGCCCAGCGAATCCCCAGCTCCTATCTCAGGGGTGGGAGTGACCCCCCAGGCCGGGAGCCCCGCTGCATCCCTCTCCCATGAACCGGGTCCTGGCTGGCGGTGGCAAGCTCTGAAGGCCTGGGAAAGGAAGGGCAACGTCAAGTGGTGAGAGGGCACCAAGTCAAGAGAGGAATAGAAATTGGGCCCAAACACCCAGCTTCGCCTTCACCCAGGTCACGTGGAGATCTTAGGCCCCACTGCTCCTGGGAAGCCAGGACCTCTGCTCTTTGATGGAAAGAGCCGGCCCAGCAGGCCCTTTCCCGGCCCAACACTCGCCTGCTCTTGGTGCAGCCTCTGAACTTCCTCCAGCTCCCTCTGGCTTCCCTCCTCCAGCTTCTCCCGGATGAGCTCGGCTCCGGCCAGGGCCGCCCGCAGTCCCTCGGCCTCCGCTCGGCCGGCCCTCTCGGCTTGCGCCAGAGCCTCCAGCTCCACCGTCTGGGCCTCCAGCCGCATCTTCTGCTGCAGTGACGTTTCCCGCAGGCCCCGGGCCTCGTCCTCGCACCGCCGCAGCTCTTGCAGCTGCCTGGAGATCAGCTCGGCCTGCTGGGCCAGTGCCTGAGACGTCTCCAGGCACCTTCAAACACAGATGGGCACAGGTGAGGGGGCTTTCAGACACCCGGGCCTTTCCCCTGCCACCTGGGGACACAGGAAACAGGAGGAGCTTCTTCAGCTCCCATACGGAGGCAGCAGGAATCCTACACAGAGACCTCTGCATGGAACATCATCGCTGTCCTTCCCCGAGGCCCACCGTCTGGGCTCACCGAACCAAGGCTCATACTCCAAGGGAAAGCAAGAGGTGTAGGCAGGGCCGGGAGTAGGGGACATCGTTAGGATGCACATTCTTAGCGGAGAAGCCGAAAGAACATTCTGAGCCTTCAGCATTCTGATTGATGGTCAAGGAAAGATTTGGAGGAGGAAGGAGTTTAGGTCTTGAAACTCAACTCATTGCCATTGAGGGTACTCATTAGCGACCCTACAGGACAGGGTAGGACTGACCCGTGAGTTTCCGAGACTTGTAACACTTCATGGGAGCACAGAGCACCCTCTTTCACCCACACAGGTGCTGGTGGTTTTGAACTGCTGACCTTTGTGGTTATCAACCCAACTCATATCCCCTACGCCACTAGAAGTCACGGGCTTCTCTGAAGAATGCGGCAAGGCGAGGCGTTAGTTAAAAGCACTTTCTGAGCGTTTATTATACAATATGGACAGCCAAAGAGGAGAGTAGTGTGCATCAGTAAATTCCATAGTCCCTACCCATGGGGAGTATACAGTCTAGTGGTGTCAGGTACAGTTGGTACTAACTTCACCTCCATGAAGGCCAAGACAAGACAGCAGGGGTTTTCAGAAATGGCAGGGTCCTCTGGCCTATAGAAATGAACGGCTAACCAAACTAGCATTCGAAGGCCTCTCTCTGTTCCCTGACTCACGGGCCAGAGCTCCCCATCCCACATCATGCTCCTTCCTCTGCGAGCGTGGTCCGACAGAGACGCGTGTGTTAAGCCCGAGTGAAGGCAAAATGGCAGGGTGGCGTTCCAGTGTATTTGGGGAGCACACACACGAAAAAGCACGACATTTTGCATACGGACAGTACATCAACAAACGGCGCGCCCAGCAAGAACAACGCGTCTTCCACGACGGCTTTCTTCACCGGCTCCGTCAGCGTGCATCTGCACCGCCACGTGGCTGTGAAGTCCTTGTGGATTTACAGCCACCCAATGTGACAGGAAAGAATGGCCCCCTGGGCTTTCCACAGCCCTAAAAGCTTACAGAAGCAGGTCCCACGCAGTCACTGGGTGGGTTTGAATCACGAACCTGTTAGTGGCAGACCCCTCGCCATCACCGGTGCAGGCAGGGCTCCTTCACCACCACAGAACCAGTCCTCTCTCTCCATCCTTCTCATCGCCTACTAGAATCCGCTATTTGCCAATCTCGCGCTTCCCCTAGAATTCCCAACGCCTCGGTATCAAGATCTCACACTCATTTGTGTGACCCGTCCCTGGCGCCTAGCACACTACCTTGGTATCCGTTATGTGTTGTTGGGGCCTTCCTAGTTGTTTCTGTACATACGGAGAACTTGTGGAAAGAGCTGGGCCGGGGTAAGGATGTGCTTTGCTGAAGGGTCAAAGGCAGAAAAGCCAAAGGCAACGGTGATGACGGCTCCCTACCTGATTCTCTGCCCCGGGTCCTGGCTGTCACCGGAAGCATCCCGTTCCCACATGGCCACTTGAGGTCTCAAGTTGTCGAGCCGCCTCTCGGGGACGTCTTGATGGAATGGGGATGGGGCCAGGGGGATATCTGCAGCCCAGGTGGGAGTCATTCTTGGCACAGCTGGAAGGGACCGAGCTTGGAAGTGGGAGGGAGGAATCAGCCCTGGCGATCCTGAGGAATCAGAGAGACACAGAGGGTCAGTTTGCCAGGGAGGGGGTAATCTCCATTCCCTTGCCTGATCCCACACTGACCTGGAAGTCGTAACATCTCTATCGGATTTGAAGGGTCTAGATTCTGTCTCCAGCCATCCATGTTCCCCTGGGCAATTGGAGAAACAAGGAAACTCTGATTCACTTTGTCCGGGCCTACTTCCAAAGAGAAAGCCCCTACGGAAACCAAGTCATCCTCTAATGCGTAGTCAGCTCCACCCCCACCCCCCTCTCCCCGCTCCTTTCTTAGTTCCTGTCCTGATGATGCTGGAAGCACCACAGATGGAGGGAAATGGCCGAGGAGGGATGCTCTTAAGATTCTGCTCGTAAATACTTTTCAGATCCCGGGTGGGGTCTTTACCCTCTTCCTAAAGGTTCTACAATGCCTGCTGGTCCTGCACATCGAAGAACCGGAGTCCAGGGGCTGGGAGCCCAATATCCAGGGCTCTCTCCACAGCTCAGCAAGGCCTTGGGGAAGGCCACTCAGACACCAAGAAGCCATGACTACTGGGTCCTTCCCTATAAAAGGCCTGGCCCCAGATAAGTACCACCACATGGAGGAATATCTCCTGAGGACCCCGGGGACTACAGCCAGCCTCTATATCCCTAGGCAGAAAGGCCGGGTCTCTGCCTAAACCTTCCCAATCCTCCAAAACCTTCCCTTGAGCCCTCCTAGCAATTTCTTCCTATGTCCTCAACTTCCATTCCTGTTGCCCACGCCACCCTTTCTGGAGTCCCAGGGCATAACAGAGTGGGCGCTTCCACATCTCTCCACCATCCCACGCCAAGTCACCGAATTCTTCCAAAATCAGGGATCCTAATCTGCGGTTATCATAAAGGACTCGTCCTGGCTCTGCACTCTCACCCTCATCGCCCCCACTCAGTCTGCTCCCTGCTATGCACTCCAGCGCCTCTTGCTTCCCACCCGTGCTCTCCCCAAACACCCGTCACCCCTGAGCCTGCATCCTGGGGGCCCTGAATTCTAAGGGTGCTCTGACCACCTCACCAAGCCCCTTTCCCCCTCTTTCCCGAGACCCATCCCAGCACCCCGCCACAGCCCCTTCCCACCCCCAACCGACTTTTCTAGAACGCCCCTTACCCAGCTCGAGAACCCCCACCTCGGGCCCTAGGCCACACCCCCTTAGGCCTTGCTATGGAGCCCGACGCTGCGGATCCTGACTGCGCCTGCGTAGAGCGGGAGGGCTGGGAAAAGAGAGCGCAAAAAAAAAAAGGAGGGGGGCACGCATGCGCAGTAGCGTCCACAAGTCGACCAATGAACGTGTTCGAGCATCTCCGCGCCCTGGCGGCTCCTCCCAACGCCGGGAACCCGGGAAAACGAGTCAACCAATCATAAAAGGCGGGAGGCGGGCGTTCGCGGACCTTCTCGGTGTACAGACCAATGAAGCTGAGCGAGGCCAAGTGAGCCGTCCAATCAGAGGCGGCAAGGGGGCGGGCGCCCTGGGCGCGGCGCAGACCCGGGAATTCCGACAGAGGGTTCGCGCGGGCCCGCGCGCGGGGGCTCCGCCCCTCCTGGCCGCCACCCTCCCTGTCAAACAGCCGCGGGAGCTGCTGCACGGACCGCGGGGCCGGAGGGGTCCCGGGACGGCCGCACGGGTCGCCCTGTCTGGAAAGGAGACCGCTCCGAGCTTGCACTGCGTGGGTACATCCGAAAGTGGCCTGGGCCCGGGAGGGAGAGGGGCTGCTTGCCTGGCTTGATCGCGGGGCGCTCCTTTTACTTTCCAACCCGCCGAGAAAAGTTGGGGAGGCAGATGCTTAGTTCTGCTTCAGTGGGAAGATTGGAGGCCTTTTCAGGGGATGACAGTAGGTCCGCTCACGGGATTCCAAACTAAATCGGGCTGAGAATTGGCCAGGAAAGCGGGGTGCCGAGGCGAACAATAAGGAGACTCCATTTGGCTCAGCGGTTTGATAGCGAGAAGCAAATTCTTTTCTCTGAATTGCAAGGTCATAAGCTCGATGGCACCGAAGCCAGCCCCGCTCTCTCCAGTTCGCATTTCCCGAGAGACTGCCTAAAGTTTGTGTTTGATTTGGGCACAGATCGGAGGCGTGGCGAGTCCTTTGGGACCCGAGGATCCGACTCAACTGAGGCTCCGGAGGGCGCTGCTGACTTGCCATCGCCCGGAAAGGCAGGACTCTGCTTGAATTTTCCCGTTGCAAAGCTGTTCTTGCCTAGACTGCGTCCATCCTGAAACTGCCCCCACTCGGAGTGTGTTCGAAGTCAAAAGGACAACCCAAGTTCGGGTCTCACTGGGAGGAGAACTTGGGAGAGTTGATGGATTCCTGAAGTAGAGGGCGTGGTGCGCAGAGGCACCGCCGATGCTGCCCTGCTTCCAGCTGCTGCGCATCGGGGGCGGCCGGGGCGGCGGCGATCTCTACACCTTCCATCCACCCACCGGGGCTGGCTGCACCTATCGCCTGGGCCGCAGGGCCGACCTGTGTGATGTGGCCCTGCAACCCCAGGGGGACCCCGGCCTCATCTCTGGGGTGCACGCCGAGCTGCACGCCGAGCGCCGCGGTGAGAACTGGAGGGTAAGCCTGGAAGACCACAGCAGCCAAGGTGAGCCAGGAACAGGGCAGACTTGCCCCTGAGCAGTGAGCTCTAGGCCTGGGTGATTATGGGGCTCCATGGGGTCCCTGCCTGCCTCCAAACTCCACATCTCGGGGGAGGAGTGGATGGAGGGCATAGACCATCTTCTTACCAGAAGTATGGTGTCAAAGCTGCCCTTGGGGTCATGCCCACTCATCGTGACCGTTTAGCAGGGTAGAACTGCCCCTATAACAGCCTTACAGGTGTATCTTGTTTCCCACACCGGTGGTTTCGAACTGCTGACCTTCTGGTTAGCAGCCACCAGAGCTCAAGGGCTGACCCTTTTAAGCCCATACAAGAGGCTGGGAAGTAGAGCCAGGGTCTGGAGCATGCTCATGGGGTCTGTCTGTGGCCATCGGTGAGCAGGCTTTTACCCGGGCCCCAGGTACACTTTGCTTCCTTCTTGGGGTAGGTAAATGTTGAATCACATCGTCATGACCTGGGCACTTGCCTTTCTCCATCTTAGCAGTGGCAGAGCCAGATTTAGGCCCCCAGACCTGTCACCGGCTCCTGTCACTTCTCTCCGGGTTCTAGTGCCCTCTTAGGTGAAATGTGCCCAGTAAGGCTTAGTAATTCTGCTTTGTATCTGTAGAGGTTGAATAACGATAGTCGCCAATTCACGTAGGACTTAAGCACTTGTGAGTGAAATGAGTTGCATGTAGGCAGACATTTCTATCGCCGTTTGGCAGAAGAGGAAACCGAGGCCCAGAGAGGTAAAGGATCTCATCCAGGATCACAGAGCAGGGGAGTGGAGGCGTCATGACTTGAGGCCGGACAGGCCACCTCCCGAGCTACGCTGAGATGATACTGTTCTTTGAGTCAGAGCTGGCTGAGTGCGTTCCCACTGAGACAGGGCGCTCAGGAGAGGCGGGAAGGTGGAGTCCATTCACGGAGGTGCCTGCTGGAGGGCACAAGAAAGCAAAACAAACTGAGGCCATTCTACAATTTACTGCCGCTTGTCACTGGCTGAAGAAAGGGCTTAGAACGGCCAGGAGGGAAGAACGGGATGACAGTGCGCGTTCTTTCTGATGGGCCCAAGAGAACAGGTCTAAATTTCTCCACTCCTGACGGGGTGCTTTCTGTCTGCTTTTCTCGTTCTCTGTATCTCAATAGGGACCTTAGTTAATAGCGTCCGACTCCCAAGGGGTCACAGACTGGAGCTGAGTGACGGGGACCTCCTAACCTTTGGCCCTGAAGGGACCCCAGGATCCAGCCCCTCTGAGTTCTACTTCATGTTCCAGCAAGTTCAAGTCAAACCTCAGGATTTTTCAGCCATCACCATTCCGCTGTCTAGGGGAGAAACGGGGGCCAGGGGCGGTTTCCAGCCCATGTTACCCTCTGAGGGGGCTCCACAGCGGCCCCTCAGCACCCTTTCCCTAGCCCCCAAGGCCACCCTGATCCTCAACTCCATCGGCAGCCTTAGCAAGCTCCGCGCCCAGCCTCTCACCTTCTCCCGGGGTGGAGGTGGGCCCCAGAGCCTACCCTCTCCCACGCCCCCTGAGGAAGTAGGGGCTGCCCCTTCTGCCCCAGCCCCGGCCCCCAGAAACCGAAGGAAATCAGTTCACCGCGTGTTGGCCGAACTGGATGATGAGAGAGGGTCTCCTGAGAGCTCCCCACCAGCCCTCATGGAACCCAGGAAGAAACTCCGAGGAGAGAAAACCCAACTGAAACCCACTGGGTAAGTGGAGCTGCCTTCCCACGTGGGCCCCAGCCCTGAGAAGGCCTGCCGTGTGGGGGTGGGGTGGGAAGAAGTGGGCAGAGGTGGAAGTGCCGACCTACCGATGGGAAGAAATATGTACAAAGCAAGAGTGAGGCGGACTGGAGCCTGTGGGGATCAGTATTAGTGCCAATTTTACATTCAGTATCTTCAACCCCATTCTTCTCGAGTTCTGAAAACCACGTCCAAACCCTTACCAGAGTCCAGTTCCAACTCACAGCCACTTTCAGACCAGAACTCCTCCCCAGGGTGTCCTCAATGTCAGTGAGTTTTCGTTTAGGATGGGGCCTCTCCAGTCTCACCCTGTAGGTTCTCAGACTTATTTCTAGGTTCACGTTATAAATATCTCGAGTGTCTCTGGGGGCCACCCTTGGACTTCCAGAGTTCAGGGATCATCTCAAGTCTCCCCCAAAAGGTTTCTAGTGACCTTGGTTTTTGTGTCTCCCCCTCAACTTCCTAGAAACCGTCGTGGGCGTCCTCGGAAGCACCCAGTGAGTGCCCCCTTGGCACCCCCTGCAGTTGGGGGCAAGGAGTCTTGTGCAGCTCCCCGATGCTGCCTGCCCCAAGAAGAGCTAGTGGCCTGGGTTCAGTGTGATGCTTGTGACACCTGGTTCCATGTGCTCTGTGCTGGCTGTAGTATTCAGGCTGCAAGGGAGACAGACTTCCGATGCCCAGGGTGCAGTGCGGGTATCCAAGCCGAAAGCCCAATACCCTGGCACGAGAGGACAGAGCTGGGTCATCCAGGCCAGGGGGGCCTAAGCCATGAAACGCAAATGGATCCTAAGAAATGCCCTCCTTCTTCCCTTCCCTCCCCAGGAGGGACTGACTCAAAGGCCCCTTGCCTTGGCTACTGAGTCAGGGACTGGAGCTCATGGTCAACCGTGACAGAAGAGCCGGATCCTGCCAAAGAGAATCACCTTCAAGAAGTTGTCGCCAGCAAACCGGAAACCCCACTGATCTAGGCTATAGAGCTCGTTGCCAGGGATACCAGGTCTGGGACCGGTATCTGGGCAAGCCCAAAGTGTGTGCAAGCGGGTGCTTGGTATCCTTCGACGGCATCACCTAAGGGCTCCTCGAAAACCCAGGACGTGGCCCTAAAATGCCCCTGCTCTGTGGCTAACCCCGCTCCCAGCTGTTACCACCCTGGCCTGGCTTGTTTGTGTTTTCGGCTTCTTATTTCCCAATAAAAACAAGTCCCATGCATACCCGGCTCTCTACTCTTCTTGGGGTTGGGGAGTGAGGATTAGGTTAAAGTCTGAAAATTGGATTAAGATAAGAAGGTAGACAGGATACAGACCATCTACAGGTTCCCCTCAGACACTAGAACCTCCAGGGAGAGCCCAGGACACCCCAGATGAAGTGTGTGCTGGCCTGGTTTAATGTGGATGGACCCAGCCCACGAACAGTCCCCTTTTTTCTTCGATACTCCTCCCACCAAGAGCTAGTCAGGGCATTGGGTTTTATAGTTCACTGCCTGCAAACCAAGCCAGTTATTCTCATCAAGCGAACTTCTGCTCATAGGGTGACCCCTCACGTGGTGACGGGAGGGGGACTGCGCCATAGGGTTTTCTTGGTTGTACTCTGGGGAAAGGAACCTTGGTGCTGTGGATGAAGCACTGAATTGCAAAACACCCCACACTACAAGTGAGTCAATGCTGACTCATCCTGACTCCTTACAGCAGCCTTAAACGGCCCCTGTGGGGTTCTAGGACTGTCATTAGATGCCCGCCGGTGCTACTGGGCCCTGCACCATCCTTGCAACGTTCCGTGCTTGAGCCCATTGCTGCACCCACTCCCGTTATCCCATCTTGCTTCCACTGGCCCTCTACCAAGTACGGTGTCTCTCCAAGGACTGGTCTCTCCTGACACGTTCAAAGTAGGAGACAAGTCTCGCCAACTCTGGAGTACAAAGCCCCTCTGGGGAGCAGCTGGTGGTTTTGAACTGCTGCTCTTGAAGTTAGCAACCCATCATGTCACCACTGTGCCACCAGGGCTCCTTCAGAACTGGGTTAAGGGGGGCCAGCAGCCGCTCCATGCTTTCGGAAAGCTGACCAGCCATGGCAGCCTATGGAGCAGGACCGTGCTGGACAGGTCAGCGTGTGAAGCTGTTTGCGTCCCTGGTTGCAGCCACTGTCAGTCCATCTAGTCCACGGTCTTCAGTGGGTCACGTGTCGGGCTGCTAACCTCTAGTTCAGCAGTAGGCAACCACCCCGCCTGCTCCGCCAGGAAGACAAGGCTTTTCCACTCCTGTAAAGATCCGGTCTCGGAAGCCCACAGGGGCACGTCTACCTGTCCTATAGGGTGGTTGAGACGGCATCCACTCCAGGGCAGTGAGTGGATGGGGTTAAAGGTTTGGGTGTTGAAGAGAAGCCCCACCCCAACCCCCCATGTCCATACTTGTCCCTCCTGCAGTACCGGAAGCAGCCGAAACCAAGGACAAAAGTCTCATCTGGTGCATCCCAGGTTTCTTTATTGAGGAAGAACGTGTGTAGTGACTCCAATCATGAGTATCTTTGGGCTTCACCTTCCTGCCAACCAGCTATTCTCCCACCCCCCACCCTCAGTGGCCCCAATGACCTCCTTAGTCAATGAAGACCCTAACCCCCAAAGCCCCCCGGCTTCCCTGCCCCCTTTCCTCTCCCACCCGTTCCTGGGAAGGGTGGGCACCTCAGTTTGAATGCATGGGTGAGCCCAGAGGGGTGACCTGGACGGCAGGGAAGGCTTCCCCCTCCGGGAAAGGGACCGAGGAGTACAGAGTAGTAAATTGAGGGACCCCATAGCCTGGGGTACCGAAATGGGGCCCTGGCGCCAGAGGGAAAGACATCGGTCCCCCTGGGAAAGGAGAGCCGGCAGCTTCGAAGTCCTCGCGCTGGGCGTAGTCGCTGCCGGTCCGTTTGCCTTTCTGACGCCGGTTGCAGAACCACACGCGGACCACCTGGGCGTGGACACGGGGAGGGCGCCCTCAGCTCCGGAGAGGTGGGAGGGACTCGGGACAGAGGGCGAGCGGGCAGAAGCGGGAAGGGGAAGGGGGGTGGGGGGGACACTCACGTCCTTCTCCAGCCCCAGCTGCTGGGCGATGTGGCAGATCTGCTGCAGAGAGGGCTTGGGGCACTGCAGGAACAGGCTCTCCAGGCTGCCCCGCACGCGGTTCTCGATGCTCGTCCGCTTCCTCTTGCGCGCCTGCTGCAGGAGGGTCTCCGCCTTGCATATCTGGGCCGGGGGGACAAGAAGACAAAAAGGGTGTCACCAGAGCCAGAACGCAGGACAGGGGCCAGCAGAGGCGAGAGTTTAGACCAGCTGCCACGCACCTTCTCACAAAACTGAGACATTACCCTCCACCCTACGGAGAACTGCCGCTCCACAGGAGAAGACATGGGAGCCAGGATAATGGATTGGGGGGGAGGTACCCCCACTGCGTCCCCCCTGCCCGCATGTACCTCCTGGAGGTTTTCATTGTTGTCCGCCTCCTCCACCCACTTCTGCAGCAGGGGCCGCAGCTTGCACATGTTCTTGAAACTGAGCTGCAGAGCCTCAAAGCGGCAGATGGTGGTCTGGCTGAACACCTTCCCTGGGAGAGCCAGTGGTAAAGAAGCAAAGTGAGCCTGCACCCCAAGTCCTCAGGACCACTGGACCCTCCTTCTGGACTCCCCACTATATCCCACACTAGGGCTCCACCGGTCTAAGTAAGCCCAAGCATCCACCTCCCAGCTTGCCCCCCAAACACTCCCCCCCTTGCCCTTGGGGGAAGGAAAAGGCTCAACATTTCAGAATGTTCCCTTCCGGGGTGTGGCCCCATAAGGCAGAACCCACGGAAGGACTCACCAAAGAGAACCCCCAGGGTGAGCCCCACATCCGCCTGAGTGTACCCTAGGGTGATCCTCTTTTGCTTTAAAAGCTTAGCAAATTGCTCCAGGTCTTTCTGACGAGTTTTGATGTCCTGGAATTGTTTAAAAAAAAAAAAAAAAAAGTGTTTGTTTTTTTCCCAGCAGAGGACTCCAGAGCACAATACAATCAATCACTCACACCCTTGTACCTCATTTTCCTTCTCCATAGTTTGTAGACAAGGCCTCAAAGAAGGCCTAAGGGTCTATCCCCAGACTCCAGCCCCCTTTCACATCTATAAACACCCCTCATTTTCACTGTCCCTGAACTAAGGACCCCTCCTCCTTCAGAAATCCTCACATGCAGATTTTAACCCAATAGATAAGAGTGCCCATGGGTGGGGAGGTGGGTCTTGGCTTCAGAGACAGCCCTGTCTGGGTATAATGGGAATTCTAGGACTGTCCTGTTCGGGGAGAGAAATAAAGCACCCAGCATTTAATACTAACCCCAACACATGCACCCCAGCTTGCTATTATAACCCTGACTGTTATAATAGATGTCCAGGAGCCCTGGTGGCCTGGCAGGGAACACGGTGGGTTGCTAACCACAAGGTCGCAAGCATGAGGGCGGCAGTTCAAAACCATCTCTCTCTCTAAGAGGCAGGAGGGAGACAGAGAGCGAGCTGGTGCTCAATTAAAAAAAATATGTATATAGCCGATTGACCTGGGTGCTTTGCAATATTAAAACATCCCTATTGATTCGTTGATCCCACAGATTAATCGAGCACCTTCTATAAGCCATGGAGGGGTCTTGGTGGCATAGTGGGTCCGTTCAAAACCACCAGCCGCTCCATGAGAGAACGCTGCGGCTTTCTGTTCCCATGAAGAGTTACAGCCTGGGAAACCCACAGGGGCAGTTCGGTTTTGAATGAGCTGTTCCCCCACAGCTCCATAAAGCAGGCCAATCATTACCCGAGTGTTAGGATGTCCACGAGCCCTGGTCACCTAGTGGATAAGTCTTGAGCTGCTACCCACAAGGTCAGTTCAAAACCATCAGCTACTCCTCAGCGAAAGACAAGGCTTTTCTAAGGCTCTTAAAGAGTCTCAGAAAGCCACAGGGGCAGTCCTATAGGCTGTAGACTCCCTGCAATTGACTCCCCAGCAGGGAGGAGGACCAGGTGTCAGAAATGCTGTGGAAGTAAAAGCAGGGTGGGGGGCAGGGGCAGGGATAGTAATGGGAAGTGATCAAGGAGGGAGATGATCTGAGCCAAGGGTTAGTTAGCTGGAGACTGTTCTAGACAGAAAGGACAGTGTTGTTTGGGAGGAACAAAGTGTGGCTGGGGCAGGGCAAGGGGGCTGCAGGATGCCAGGAGAACCACCCCCCACCCACCCAACCCCCAAGAGGAACGAGGCAGAGCTTATAAGCACTGCAGTGCCCTGAGCATCCTTCAGGGCCCTGGGGAGTCACACGGGGTTTGGAGGAAAGGGTCGGATCCCGCATTGAGTTGATCACCCATCAGCTCCTGCATTGTGAGTTGATGACCCAGAGGCTATATTGCCTATGGACTGGGAATGAGCAGGGCAGGGTGGAATGACGGAAACCACCCACTGTTGGCCGACAGAACAGGGGCCGGGATGAGGGAGGCGGAAGTGACACACTCAGCCCACCTGAAGGGGCTCCATGACCTCTGGTCAGTTCCCTGGTATGTTCCAGCTACAGACAGACAGCAGTCGTTCCCCCTCAGACTGGAGGTGGGTCTGCAGAGCAGACCAGGAACCGGAGCGTGAGGGACATACGGGTTTACTGGTGCTACGACTTCCTAATGGGTAGTGAATCATTTCACGGGTTCTAAGATTAGCGAGCAGTCGGCACAAAGGCCCCGTGCTTACCTTGCTTGTTGGGTAATCAATCCATCCCTGAGCAACTGTGATGGCGTGAAGGTGTTCAGAGAGCCACCCCGATGTGCCGGGGCAGCCTTTGCAAGGGGGGGGGGGGGGGGGGGGGGGGAGAGTGTAGATGTATGCCTGCTCCCTGCCACCCTCAGCGACCCTATAGGGCAGGGTAGACCTGCCCCTGTGAGTTTCCCCGTAGAATCCCTGTCTTTCTCCCTCCGAGCTGCCAATTGTTTCCAACTTTGGGTCTTGAGGAAGGGTAAAGAGAGAAAAGGGGAGACTGGGGAGCTCAGAAGAAAACCAAGTCTGTGGGTGAACCCTGGAAACCTCCCGGGGAGAGGTGATCAATCGTATTACATTCTAATAAGCTAATCTCCACTCCTAACACCTGCTCTCCCAGTCGATCCTATCTAGGCCCACTTGCCCGCACCCTTTGACGTCCTGGGGTCGGGGAAATCCCCTGCACTTCACCCTTTCTGCAGTTCCTACTGCACCTCCCTCGAGATCGGGGCCAGTTAATGAGATAATGATGTACGAGGGCACACAGCCAGGCACTTAGGAAGTGGCCCACAATTGGCAGCCATTATCATTCAAGGCTCAGCAGTCACCTCCTGCCAAGAGTCTGGGGTTACTAAGTCGAGGCTGAAAATGCTCACACCTCATTGGGTGGGGCATGGGGCTTAGAACATCACCTCTAATTGCTACACCTTCCCTTCCTCTTCCATAGCCTCCTGGGCCGCCCTGAACCAGTCACGTCTTCAGCCAGCCCCCCCCCCCCCCCAGCAAACCCAATCCACTTTGGGGACAAAGAGCTAACATCTCCCGACAACCAGTTGTTGGTCCCCCACCCCCCCGCTTTTTCGATCACAATTTATGCAGAAAGGTGACTCGCTGGTCTCTAAGGCACAGAAGTAACTGTTGGGTGCCCACCCAGAGGCGTCTCCGACCCAGTAACCCCGTGGGGCAGCTCGGTACTGCCCCATTGAGTTTCCCAGGCTATCGCTCTACGCCAAGTCCAACCATTGAGCTTCCAGTTAGCAGCCGGGCGCCTGCCCTCCCCACTCCTCCCCTGCCCTGCCCTCCCCACCCCTCTCCTCCCCATTGCAGCGACAGAGGTAAGCCAACTACTCATTTCCCTGCTGTCGAAGTCAATTCCGACTGGCGGCGACCCCAGAGGTCCGCTTGGCAATGCCCCTTTATGCTTCTTCATGGAAACAGAACGCCTCATCTTTCTCCCGGGGAGCAAGGGGCGGTTTCGAGGTGTAGACCTTGAGGTCAGCAGCCCAAGGGACCTTAAAAGGACTCAGGGTATACCTGACTCGGCCCGGACCAACAAGAGCTCCTCGTTCCCAGCCAGTCACACCCTAGACCTCCGGGAACAATTAGCCTGGGATAAGAAGTCGTTTTGTTTTTAACCCTCAGGCTACACTTAACCCTGAGGCCAAAGACCCTGGGCTCCAGCAGGAGTGTGATCACCCACCTCAACCTTGGCCAGGGCTAGTGCTGAGTGATCTGACCCTGGTCCCCGGTCCGGCCGAGGGAAGACAAGGGCCCTTCGTGACAAGCCCAGCCTCCCCTCGTGGTTCCCTCTCCGAATCCAGGTTTCTAGCCCCACCTAGACTCTGCTTCCTGGACTGCCGTCTGCCCCAGCCTGCTCCTCTCTCTGGTTCCAGATCTAGGTAGGTCCAGAGACCACCCCCCTCTCCTGCCAGCCCTGCCACCTGGAACCAAGGCTGGTCACTTACCTCCTCGGGGCTCTCGTCCATCTTCTCCTGGTCCCTCTTCCCGTCACCAGGCAGGGCAGGGAGGGGCTCCGGAGAGGCCTCATCCGAGTGGCTCTCAACCCCAGCGCCCGCCTCACCCTCGGGCTGAGGGGTCTCCGAGCCACCGTGGGGCAGCATCCCCGCACCAACCTGAGGCCCACAGTACGCCATGCCTCCACAGAAGTCGTAGGGCGAGGGGCACGGTGGGATGCCCCATACCTCAGCACCGGACCCAAGACCGGGCCCAAGCCCTGGCCCACCCGGTGTGCCTGGAAAGCTCAGCCAGGTCCGTGGGTCAGCCCAGCCGGGCTCTGGTCCTAATGCCCCTGGCCCCTCGCCTCCACCACCAGGTGGGGGCGAGAAGGCAAAATCGGCAGCCAGGTGTCCCGCCATGGGGAAGGAGGGCACCCCTAGCTGGGGGCCTGGAGAAAGGAGGGCTCTCCAAGGGGACTACTCACCACCTCTCTCCCTCCCCAATCCCACCCTTGCTGCCTTGACTGCTGGCCCCGCCCCCTAGGTGGGTGGAGGAGAGGGCGGTGGGGGTGGGAGAAACTGAGGGATGGGTGTTAGCCTGTAGGCTGCAGTGGCTGTAGACTTAGTGGAGCTGGGGGGCTGGGGAGTCTGTGTGTGTGTGGTGTTAGGGGGACTTCATTTCTGACCCCCAGCAGGCTCCTTGGCCCCACACATCTCAGGTCTGGGATCCTATGGACCTTCCCTCCACATTCTTCATGAATGTACCCCATAACTAGACCCCTAGCACCGTCCCTCGCTGGAGCCCAGACACTCCATGAACTTGTACTGCCGGGACCGCTCGACTCATGACCCAGAAACCCACGGATTCCTTCCCACCTTACAGGCCAGCCCTGGTGGACCCTAGGTTCCCCGCAAATCCCCAGCACCCATCTGCCCAGCCTGCTGGATCCTACCCCCATTCACAGGGACGGATGGCCTGTGTCTGTCCCGAGGGCCCCATGTCATCCCTCCTCTCCCACCCCACCTTCCGGTTCCACGGTCTCCGTGTGGAACCAGCTCTGGTGGGAGGAGACTCTGGGGTGGCCCCTCACTTCCCCTTTTCCCAGCAGGGCTCTGGAATGATGGCCCCCGAGTTTCCCAGTCTTGTCCTGAGTGTTTCCTCATGGAGCCCCCCCATGCTGGGCCCGCACAGGCCGGCCCTCGCTGGCCCTCTTCCGGGGATGGGACTCGAGGCCCGGCTCGCCCTCCCCCACCTCCCTAGGCCAGGCCTGCCGCCCCAGGCCTTGGGTGGGGAAAGTCAAGGTGTGGGAGGGGGAAGGAGAGAAAATCTGACTTCAGGTTCAAAGCGGCCTTGGGAGGGACCCGGGAAGAGGGCCGGACAATGGCCCAGGCTGGACCATCCCAGCCCCCAGAGGGGCAGGACTAACCCTAAACAAGTGCTCAACCCTTGAATGGGCCTGGATGGCTCCCCTGGGGCCAGCTTCCTGCCACCACCACCACCCCACCTCGGCCCTCCATCCCAACCCCCTCTCACAGTCACTTAAAGGAGGAGTAACAGCCACCCCCCTTCCCCAGTCCCCCTCAAAGACTGCACCTCCTCAGATAGACCCCCAGGGCCCCCCACCCCGCCTGGATCCACGAATTCCCCTCCACTCGCCCCTCCCCCTGCCGCCGGGATGCTCTTTGTTTGGGGGTGCCGGCAGAAAGGTGCTGAGATGCTCGGGAGCGACAGGAGGCATCCCTGCGGGAAACCTGTCCGGAGCTCCCCCTCAGGGTCTGCTGTGGGATACCTGGTCTGGTGTTCTCAGGGCTGTTTGCAAGAGAATAGCCCTCCCTGTGCCTGTCTGTGAGGAATGGTGTTTGTCCGTCTGCTCCTAAAACCTGCCCTAGGTGGAGGTCCTGGGGCAAACGGCGGGTGGGAGGGGGGGCCCTCTGGGGCGATTCTGAGCCAGACCTCCCCACAGTTCAGGAGTCAAAAGCCTGAGTGAGCCTGGGGCTGACCCCGACCCAGCCTCGCCTCAGCCCAGTCTCAGCTGGTTTCTGAAGGGGTGTGGGCCCTTTTGACTGGGGCCCGGGCCTCTGCTGCCTTCCGCCAGGTTGTGCTTGTTTCTTCCGCACTGCCCTGGTCCACCGGTCTGTCTGTTGACTCGGAGCAACGAACTGGACCTGTGTCTCAGATGGGCGACGCTCGAGAAAGGTTGGTGCTGAGTGCACCTGGAAGTCGCTCACGGGGCCCAAAGGCAAGGAGATGGAGGGGCTTGGTGGGGGTGGAGGGCCCACCCCAGCCAGTCCCCCCTCCCCCAGCAGAGCCATCACGTCACCTTTGTCATGCACCAAGCTGCCGTCTGCCAAGAAGACCGCCGCCCCGAGCTGGGGGAGGGGTGGGCCTGGGACCGGGCTCCCACTGCCTCCCACCTTCGACGTCTCCGGAAACCTGTGTCCCTGCCTTCTCGGGGACTCCCCTGCCCGGCGTCCCACTGGGCATTATCCTCTGGCTTCTCCCCTCACAGTTTGTGGTGCCAGTACACGGGGGTGTTCGGGAGGAAGCGAGTTACAGCCTTGGAAACCCACGGTATGGTTCTACTTTGTGCTAGACGCTAGAGCAGTGGTTCTCAACTGTGGGTCCCGACCCCTTTGGGGGCATCGAACGACCCTTTCACAGGGCTCGCCTAATACAGCCTGCGTATCAGATATTCACATGACGGTGGTTCATAGCAGGAGCAAAGTGGCAGCTCTGAAGTTGCAACCTTAAATCATGTGATGGTTGGGGTCACCCCAACATGAGGGACGGTGTTAGGAAGGTTGAGAACCACTACTCTAGAGGGTCGCTCAGCTCCGTCCGTCCGTCCGTCCGTCCGAGATGGCTACATTTGACTGGAGGCCTAGCCAGCTCCCCTTGGGAAGCTCCGGAGCACCAGCAGAGGCAGCTCCTGGACCATCTCAGGCTGAAGGGGAGGCGGGAGCCACATTTCCTTTTTGTTTGTCTGAGATGACCTTGTGGGTCAGTAAAGACTCCAAGTCCATTTCCATTGTACTTTCTCTTCTCTCTCCCTCTTTTTTTAACCATTGAGACCACTCTGCAGGTTTCCTTAAACACCTGTGTAAGGATAAGGGATAAAGAATCCGGAGGCATTGTTTTTGGCTTGGTTTTAAAGAAACATACTGTATGTATTTACACACCCCATACCAATAAATGAAATCAACAGTATTTTGTGAAACCCCCCCATCATATACACGGTTCTCTTTCTTTCCCCTCCTCTCCCTCTTCCTCCCTCCCTCTGCAATATCTTATCCCGCCCTCCCCTTGTTTGGCCCCCACTCAAACTCTCGCAACCTTCTAACTCCCCCAAACACTCCCTGCCCCCTCCTCCCCACGGCCACCAAAGTTTTGTCTTTTGATGTATAAGCCAGGTTCTCTTTCCTGGGTCTTGCCTGATCCTAATGGTGTTTTTAACTCTTTATCTCTGTCAGGCTGGCTTCTCGAGCTTTGCCCGAGTTTTGCCGTGTTTCTCATCGATGTGCCAGTTCCACAGGATCCATGTGCCCGCGCTGTTTGTCCAGTCCCCTGGAAGCTTTCCACGGGCAGCTTCACGTCTGCTGAGACCCGCTCTCCCAGAGCCCGGCTGCCCTGCGGCTGCTGGCCCCGTTAGAGATGGCAGCAGGTCTGTGTCGTCGAGCCTGGTTCCTAGATTCGCTGGGGCCCTCGGGAGTCACTGAGCAACCTCGAGTTTAGGAATCAATTTAGGATGCGGCTCACAAGCCTTCCACGGGCATCTTTATTACAACCATGGCAAGGCAAGGCAACACCTGCCTTGGTGGCAAGACTCTTGCCAGGAGGACCAGTGAGGCTGTGGGGAGGCCCAACCAGCCTGGCTGCACAGTGGTCCTGCCACTGTCAGCCCAGCCACGGCCACCCCCTTCCAGCCCCATTGGCGGCGGGTGCCACATGGTTAGGGAAACCAGGTGCAGGGGCTCAGGTGAAGGCGTGCGGAGGCTCCCAGAGCCCAGCATAGGAAATCCACTGTATTTTGACTCCTGGGTTCTGTCAACCTGAAGACAGAAAGGAAGAGGGGGGTTCTGAGTGGAGAAGGGGTCAGGCCTTGCCCACTTCCCTCCCTTGGCCTCGATTTACCCATATCTCAACAATTTTCCCATCTGTCTGACCTCCCTGCCAGGCCTGCCCCCGAAGCCTTTGTTTTCCCAGATCCAGACAACACTCCCGCATCTCATGGTGCCAGCTCTTTGGTGCAGTCTGCAGGGAGACGGACAGGGAGGGTGGTGGAGCTGGGAGAACTGGTGGCGGTCAACCGAGAGTGGTAGGCAAGGTTCCAGGCTCTGGCTCTGACCCCCCCAGCTAACGGCACCTCCCCTTTCTGTACCGCTCCTCATCTGTGCGGGGGGGGGGGGGGGGGGGGGGGGGGGGACTGGACTCGGTCGTTTCTACATTTCCTTCCAAGTCCGCCATAAACTGTGGGAGCCCCATTTCCCCGGCCCTCCTGTCTACTTACTTGACATGGGAATGTAGGTGTCTCCCTGCATGCCTGTGTAGAGAGATTGGGATTAGAGCAGGCCACGGAGGGATCTCTGCCTTTTCCTTACTGGACCTCTAAGCAGCCTTCCTGGGAAAGCTGTCCTGTGGAATGGGGTGGGGGTGGGTTCTTCCTGGGAACCCTGGGGGGAGGGTGGGGTGGGGAACTGACCTCAATGTTCAGCAAGCTTTGAGGAACAATTGGGAGCAGTTTGGATATGGTTTTTGGTGCTCGGGAGTTTCTAAGAAACACACTCCAGGAAACGAAACGCAGGCGGTAAAATGCCTCAGCGGAACCCGGAGAGAAAGTGTTGTGTTGTGAGGGTCAACAGAGACCCTAATCTCCTCCCTCCCCTTTTCACAGATATCCTCTCCTTTGCCATTTGCCTCTCTGGGGCCCGGAATCCTCCCAGAGGAGAGGGATGCGTGGACGGCTGCCCACCTCCACCCCACTCGTCGACAGGTCTGTGCACACCTGCTGGCCTGACCTTCTTCCACTGCTTCCAGAGGTAGGTGCCTAAAGCTCCCACGATGAGCACCGCAGAAGCCAGGACTCCGCAGAAGATCCAGGCTGGGGGCTGCTGAAAACCACCTGGAGGCTCTGAAAGGTGAACGGGAGCCTGTGGGCCGCTGACCGATGCAGGGACTGCCACCCTATCTCAGTGACAAGGTTGTGCTGCTGGGGCAGGGATAGCATGGGGTGACTTTCACAAACAGGATGGACTTGGCTCACCCTGTGGGAGGCTGAGAAGTCCAATTGCGAGCACGGGGTCTCTTTCGCTTGCTAGGCTCTGGAGAAAGGCCCTTGGAGAGATCCTGGGGTTTCCACATCTATCTTACCCCATCTCTGCTTGACTGCTTAATCTTTGTTTATTTGTTTGCTAAATCTCCT